CCCCCCCCCCTTTAAAAATGAGAAAAAATATAAAGGGGTACATGAACTGAAACATTGAGGCAGAAGGGGTACACTTGTTAAAAAAGGTTGAAAACCCCTGGTTTAGGGCTTCTGCTGGTCATCTGCAGTGCGGAAAGACTATTTTTCTTTTCCCCTCATTGGCTTTATTCACTGTTTACTGTAGGTATGGGTGGTGTTGTGTGCATATTTGCATATGTATGTGCACCATCCTCTGAAGAACTAGATAGTGGCTACTTAGCTATTCAGTTGTAGAGGCACACATTTGATAGCAAAATTTGGCTTTTGTTTATAATTAAGACAGCTGGCCACCCATCAGACTGAGTATCCAAGATATAGAGAAGGCAACCATATTCTCATAAAGCCTATGTGAAGATCTTCCTGAAGACTTCGTAGATATGCAGAACAAAACTGCAGGACATTGTGATTCAAATCAGTGTTTAAGAGAGAGCGTTAGGAACTATGGCATTTAAAGGAACAAATAGGCCACATACTTAGAGAAGCACAATTTGATTAAAGAAAGTCAAGGTGGTTTCAGAATACACCTCACCAACTTGGGATTCTTTTAAAGCTTTGAACTGCCAGGGAATAAAAGAAAAATGCAGTAGATGGTCTTACAGAGTGCTTGGAATTTGCAGAAAGCTTTTGAGAAAATGTTCTGCATCACAGGTTAATATGAAAGAGACAGAGCCATGAAATAAATGGAAAGTTGGCAGAGTATACTGGAAATTGGCTAAAGGGCAGGAAACAAAGGGTAGCAGTAAAAAGCTAAAAGGAGATTAATTGGTGAGTGCTGCAGGGAACAGTGTTGGACCTCTTTTTATTATTTACATATAAATTACTTGGAGGAGGGTATTGAAGGAGATTTCCTTGTTTACCAGTGAAACTGCTTTGGATACCATTACACACACAAAAAAAGGAACAATACAATTAAGAAAGGATTTAATTTATTGAAGTAGCTGTGCTGGTCTATAGTTCATGGAGCTGAATATAGAGTATTGCCCCT